AGGACCCATCGCTAAAGGGGTCCAGAAATTATTAAGGGGGTCGGATTCTTACTTAAGGGGGATCAAATTAATTTCGAGGTGCGAAGAATGACCTGGCGGTTAGGACCCACCACTATAGTGGTCCAAAAACTATAAAGGGGGTCGGATTCTCACTTAAGGGGCGTCAAAGTAATTTCGGGGGGCCAAGAATGCCCTAACGATCAGGACCCACTGCTAAAGGGTTTTAAAAATTATAAAAGGGGTCGGATTCTCACTTAAGGGAGGTGAAATTAATTTCAGGGTGCGAAGAATGACGGTGGGGTAAAGACCCACTGCTACAGGGGTCCAAAAAATACATAAGGGGTCGGATTTTCACTTAAAGAGGGTTAAATTAATTTCGAGGTGCGAAGAATGACCTGGGGGTTAGGACCCACCGCTATCGGGGTCCAAAAATTATAAAGGGGGTCGGATTCTCACTTAAGGGGGGTCAAATTAATTTCGGGGTGCCAAGAATGCCCTGGCGGTTAGGACCTACCGCTATAGGGGTCCAAAAATTATTAAGGGGGTCGAATTCTCACTTAAAGGGAGTCAAATTAATTTCGGGGTGCGAAGAATAGCCTGGGGGTTGGATCCCACCGCTATAGGGGTCCAAAAATTTTCAAGGGTGTCGGATTCTCACTTAAGGGGGGTAAAATTAATTTCGGGGTGCGAAGAATAGCCTGGGGTTTAGGACCCACTGCTATAGGGGTCCAAAAATTATAAAGGGGGTTTCAACTTAAGAGGGGTCAAATTCATTTCGGGGTGCAAAGAATGCCCAGGCGGTTAGGACCCACCGATATAGGGGTCCAAAAATTATAAAGGGGGTTGGATTCTCACTTAAGAAGGGTTAAATTCATTTCGGGGTGCACAGAATACCCTGGCGGTTACGACCCACCGCTATAGGGCTCCAAAAATCATAAAGGGGGTCGGTTTCTTACTTAAGGGGGGTTTGATTAATTTCGGGGTGCGAAAAATAGACTGGGGTTTAGGACCCACCGATAAAGGGGTACAAAAACTATAAAGGGGGTCGGATTTCAACATAAGGGGGGTCAAATTAATTTCGGGGTGCCAAGAATACCCTGGCGGTTAGCAACCCACCGCTATAGGGGTCCAAAAATATGAAGGGGGGCGGATTCTCACTTAAGAGGGGTCAAATTTATTTCGGGGTGCCAAGAATGCCCTGGCGGTTAGGACCCACCGCTATAGGGGTCCAAAAATTATAAAGGGGGTCGGATTCTCACTTAAGGGGGGGCAAATTAATTTCAGGGTGCCAAGAATGCCCTGGCGGTTAGGACCCACCACTATAGGGGTCCAAAAATTATAAAGGGTGTCGGATTCTTACTTAAGGGGGGTCAAATTAATTTCGGGGTGCCAAGAATGCCCTGGCAGTTAGGACCCACCGCTATAGGGGTCCAAAAATTATAAAGGGGACCAGTTTCTCACTTAAGGAGCGTTAAATTAATTTCGGGATGCGAAGAATGACCTGAGGGTTAGGACCCACCGCTATAGAGGTCCAAAATTATAAAGGGGGTCGGATTCTCACTTAAGGGGGGTCAAATTAATTTCGGGGTGCCAAGAATACCCTGTCGGTTAGGACCCACCGCTATAGGGGTCCAAAAATTATAAAGGGGGTCGGATTCTCACTTAATGGGGATCAAATTGATTTCGGGGTGCCAAGAATACCTTGGCAGTTAGGACCCACCGCTATAGGGGTCCAAACATTATGAACAGGGTTGGATTCTCACTTAAGGGGGGTAAAATTAATTTCGGGGTGCGAAGAATATTTTGGTGGTTAGGACCCACTGCTATAAGTGTCCAAAAATTATAAAAGGGGTCGGATTCTAACTTAAGGGGGGTCAAATTAATTTCGGGGTGCCAAGAATACCCTGGCGGTTAG